GTTGACACCACAATTTATTCTCAATAATGGTATTTTCATTCTTGAGAGAGGTGTGGTAACCTTATGGTATATGTATAATTTCAAGCTTTGGGTGGGGTCACTGTGATGTATTCTTATACAAAACACTTTACTCTGATAGGTCTGATACATGTAGCATGTCTCTACACAGGAGTATTAAATTGACTGGAGTTACCCTCCGGCAACCCAAAGTCTTCTGCCTTTTTGGGCATTTAGGACTGGAACAGGTTTCCTGTATTTAATTCTGTCTTCTATTTTTTTTTTTTCAAAAAAAATATCAAGGAAGCAGATGATCTGCGATGGATAACCTGAAATCAAATTCTTCAAATATGTAAACTAACTGGCTAGGAGACTTTGACATTGACCATACGTTAAAAGTAGCCCCCCTTCTTTCACTAGTGTTTTATAAACAAGGTGGGTTAAGTTTCACAATAGTGAATGTATTTTGTAGTGGGAGAAAGGGGACAGAACACATGGAACTTACTGCATTAGACAGGACAATCTTAGTATCACAGATCCATATGTTGTACATGTGAATGATAATAATTATGGGTCTTTGACATATTGGGAAACATAAGGTCTTGTCAAGTGTAAAGAACAGCAGCACAACAGTAGATGGGCTTGGTCAGATTAACATTGTAACAACCAAACAGGAAGAGCTTCTCATATTTCTCTAAAAGGATTAATTACACTGTTATGACATGTGACATGCCCACAATGGGTTGTACCAAAAATAACATATTTTTGCCCTTGTTGTATATTCAGTAAGTCTTAAATAGTTATCAAGATCTTTTTTGGGGGCAACATGCATACTAAACTGTTCACTTCACCGCAAAAATAGGTTTAAAGGAACTTCATGTATTCCATAGGAGTACTGTATTCTTTTAGAGAAGTTTAAACATTCTTAACACACTACACAATTTTTTCCTGGTTTGTCATGATCAATATTAACCTATCTCTTTGCAGGGCACAAAAAGAAACATAAGCACAGTATATTTTCCAATCACTTAAGTTGTCGAATGAATAAAAGATATTTATGGTAGGTTCTTGTTTACATGTTAGTCCCCTTTGCCTTATCTTCTCGAGCCTTCAGATAGATCTAAGCTACATACCAAAGAAAAAAAAAATCAAAGCAAATTCTTTGTACATGGAACCCCATAGAGAACACTTCTAAACAGAGTCTTCGTGACGAATCTCACGGAAAAAAAATTCCCAAAGTTTTGTTTGCCCGTAAAGGAATAAAAGTGGTGGTTACATACCTCTATTCGATGCTGTAAGCGACGGTTCAACTCATGTATTCTTACATCAGGATGTGTATAATACGGAGTATGACGCCTACAGCGAGAAGGAAATATTGGTAAACGATCGATTAACTTTTTGCGCTCTGTCGGCTCGGTTCTTAACGCGACGAGCACGCGAAATGAGCGCTATACACAATTAGCAAAACAGACGTATGAAATCGACAAGGTTTGTCTGTTGCATGCATCGCTGAACACGACGGAAGCTCATAAAACAAGCAGACCCTGAACGAGTTTATCCCAGCGGAACAGAAGATAAAATATTGCAAAGAATCCGTGATATTACCCCGTTGAATAGCTTGGGCTTGGAAGTGGGACACTGGGCATCCTCCAATTCCAAGAATCGGCCGTTTTCGAAGCGTTCGAAGCCTCCTGGAAGCTTCGATCAGAACTTCGAGCGTCTCTTCAGGCTTATGGTGGGCAACAGAAGACTTGGTAGAGCTGAATAAGGTTCGAACAAAGAAAGCCAAAGTCATTACAATAACAAAGGGTCAGTGAGCCCGATCGAATTGCACAAAATGTACGCTTCACTTCATATGATCGTTTAAGCTTATAACTACAGCATTTCTACCTTAACAAACTTTACTCAGATTAACCTCTATAAAAAATTACGTTGGCGTAATGTTTTGCAGAAAAAACAATATTGATCAGCTGTTTCAACCGAAAGCTAGCCACCTAGGAAAAATTATGCGTCTCTTTGACCTAACTTTCATTGAAGTAAATATTCAAGGCTAAATTTAGTCCCTTCAGCTTGCTGTATACAAAGCGTAACGCAAGTGAATTTCGCCTCTCTCGATCTCGTCGTCTCGTCCCCTGCTTCCGGATACCGCGGGTGATTTAACAGGATATAGATCACATAACACGTGAAATGAATCGCAACTTCACATATCCACTTAATCCTCTGGTTCACTGTTTTCAAATATGAGCATTGCCAGTTGACAAATGTGTGATTTGAGGCTCTCGCGAGTATCAACAAGTTGGCTGCGAACTTCGAGCGCTAAAAGTCAGCCCTTACTCACCTTCTTCTGGTCAAACTGGACGTCGTCCCAGGCGTTTACTCGTTAAATTTCATGACCTACAATGCCCAACGTACATCCATCTGTTTATGGTATAATTTTGGTGCCACATTTGACTAGGACAAAACAAAATGTCTGCTTTATTGCGAGGGTCGCAGCGCCGCGTTGAAACAAGCACCAATGTTTGCTGACCACTGATTGGATCGCTCTGAGCCAATGGGAAGCGACTCAGGACATTTGCCGCGAAACAAAAGTCAAGATGCTGCGAACAGGTGTGGTGTTAGAAACAGAAATAAAGTGCAGATTTTTCAACCTTTGGAAGACTCTTGGAGCCTTGGAAGACCTTTGAACAGGTTTAAACACAACTTTTTTTGTCCAAAATCAATCTCAGACACCAAAAATAACACTATACGGATGTTGTAGCCTTCTGTTGTATCGATTATACAAAACAAGCCATAAAAACTCGGCATCCGGACAGACTT